ACTTTTTTAACTATAATGCAATCGCATTGCTAAAATTGAGTAGTAAAGCACTACATCATTGTGTATTTGATAAAAGTAGCATTGATGCATATTATCAAAAAGCTGCAATATGACAAACCTTTTTGGACCACTTATGGCGCGTTTCCACTGCAGCGGGTAGCCCCGTTTAAGCGTCCTTAACCGTCCTCAAGCGGCCAGGCCGGTTTTTGGTGGCGTTTCCATATAGCCTAGTACCGGCTAGCGGGTACTTTTTCCCTCTTTTTCCGGCCTCATAAAATCGTGGTTCCCTCAGACCAGGGCCAGGGCTGAACTAGTGACGTCAACACTCTCGACTGCTGATTGGTCAGAGAGAATCGTCACAAGATTGCGCGCGAGTTCATCCCTAGCGTCGCATATATATCTAGAAGCAAGCTTGCAGCATTTTTATAAACAGCATTTTGTAAACGGAGGAGCTACAAAAATGGCTACTTCTAAGAAAAGCACACCGTGGTCGACCGAGGAGGTGACGACGTTCCTTCATCTCATTGGGGATGATCAAATCCAGCGGGAGCTCGACGGAACAACGAGAAATGTAAAACACACACCAAGAAACAAGTACACGATCGCTTCCATATCCTCCATTGTTGTGTGTGAGTTGTGTCGCATTGAAGATGACGCCACTGCAGTTTTATCTCAGCGTCGCTCCGCCCAAAAAGCCCGCCAAAACGCTGATCGCCCCGCCTACACTGCGTTGCTAGCCCAGGTCCTAAACTGTAATGGAAATGCGCCACAGCCTGGGCCGGCCAGCGAGGCAGCCCGAGGCCAGAGCGAGGACGCTTAGGGACGCTTAAACGGGGCTACCCCGCTGCAGTGGAAACGCGCCATTAGAGAGGACTTGAAACTTGTTTGCTGTGTTTAAAAGCCCCACAAAATAGGTGAAGATATTTGAAAATTGGATAAGCTTGAGTTCTGCCATACGTAATGTGTGTGTGTGTGTGTGTGTGTGTGTGTGTGTGTGTGTGTGTGTGTGTGTGTGTGTGTGTGTGTGTGTGTGTGTGTGTGTGTGTGTGTGTGTGTGTGAGTGATGCAGCAGTGTGTGGCCCATGACAGCCATAATGAGGGGATGTGTAGGAGCCAGGGTGAGCCCAGCAGCAGAGCTGGCAGCCGGTCAAAGTCCTGAGTCCGTCAGCATTGCAGCATCATGAGACATTCTTAATCAGGTGGGGCTGCTCCTTTGAAGAGCATTTCACTGTGCAGGAAACACCACATTCCCTTACTGACATCACTAATACAGAGAGGAAACTACAACTCATGTGGAAAGCGCTGGCTGAAATGTCCCATGCCTGTTCTCCAGATGCACAACGCACAGATATCAAAGATGTTTTCATCTACACAAACTACTGTGTCTGGTGTTTCACAAAACTCATGCATGCTTTCCACCTCTCTTCCCCCCCTCCCCCCCTCTCTCAGTCCCACTCTGTGTCTCATGCACTTTGCTGGACCACCAACAAGGTCTCGCTTGGAGGAGCAGCTCATGGGTGTCCTTCAGCCGCATGACCAGCATAGGAGCCAATCAGCTGATGAGCTCCGAACTGAACGGCGAGAGGGTCTCTGTGGCATGTCACACACAACATCCATCGCTCTCCTGAGGCCGCCCGGGTCACTGAGCAATGCTCTGGGAACATCACAAAGATGCTGCTCAACTTCTGTCTCGCTCTCTCTCCCTTTATGTTTCCCCCGTTATCTGGTTTGCCCTCTGCCTCCCCTCCCTCCCCTGAGCCGGAGCCAGCTGAGCGTGCTACCCAAATCCAACAGTTGTTGTGGCCTTCGTTAGGCTAACGAAGGGGCCGGCTCTTTATACTTGTCAGAGAGCAAATGAGTCAAACAAACAAGGGCCAGGGAAGAGAGGAGGACAAGCGAGCGCTGTTCTGTTGAGCTTCACTGGGTTCTTGGCCGCAGCACTTCCCTGGAAACTAGGGAACCCACAATCTGCCTCTTTGATGTCTGATGATGCTCTGCTTTGATGGAAACTTTGGAAAAACACACTTGCAAAAAGAAATAACATGCTGCTTGGTCTCTGTGGCCGCTAGAGGCCGTAGGCACATTCAAAGTGTGTGGGTGCACTCTGTGAAGAACCTAAAAGAGAAATACCATTTGGGGACGCATAACAACTGGTTATGATAGTAACAACAAAGTTACAGTGTTTTCGAAAGCCTGTACTTGGGATGCGGTCGGAGCATAAGGGCACCGGGGGAACGTCCTGCTTGCAGTATACCTTCTGAATAAATATGCTTCGCACTGTCCATATATTCATACTCATTTGCATATGCATGTCCAGACATAAGTACACACTCCTCCCATCCTACAGCTGCTTTGTCTTGTATTCCAAATGCGTCCTTCTAAAACAGACAACCAGGACAGTCACAACAACACATCCTGCACAGCGTACACAATCGCAGCACAAGGCTTAAGGAGAAAGTATGAAGGTGTGTCCTTCAGAATGAGATCATTTCACTGAGCGAGCACAGAGCACTCCAAGGCTGAGATTCTGCAGCTCTCATGGGAGATTAGCTCTACCGGGGGGGTTAACCCTATGGCACAATGCTCGCTCTACTCCCAATCAGGAGCCTCCACACGGTTAACACACACACACACACACACACACGCTGACCACGACTAATCAGACAGGACCCAAAGAGAGAGACTGAGTGATATGTTCAGCTGACGTGCTCTGTGCATGTGACTGGCCCAGTATGAAATACATTGTTCGTGTACTAGCTTCATTTAATAGGAATTACTGTAAGAAAACACGTTAACTGTATCTCCTCTTACACCAATGTGGTTTGAGCGTGTCTATGGAACACACACAACATGCTGCGGGAAATATGGAGGGCTATCTTTTGTAAAACATTAAATTGATGTTTTGAGTGCACACATGGGAGTAATGAGCATGCTGAACACACTTGGAAGCGGTATAAGCCGTTTATTATTACGCCCACATGGAGTTGTGAGTCACTTGGGTGGCGCCACCACACAAAAAAGCTCCACTCAAGGTGCAAACTGGGATGATAGCGGCTGGGTGGGGGTTGAGGTGATGGACAGAGAGACAGGGGGCTACTGCAGGTTCACCTTCTGTGCCGTGGCTCTGGGGCAAAGACTACGTGACAGTGACGCGACACTAAAAGCCTTCCTGTCAAGGAGGCAGGTGGACGCCCTCCAATCAAAACACAGAGGCTCTGGGTGACATTTCACAGGACACAGCTGCTGGGCTGCGACAGCATGGCAACTCACTATTCCTGAAGGGTTGTTTGTTTAGTGTGTGTGTGTGTGTGTGTGTGTGTGTGTGTGTGTGTAACTAACTGAAGGGTATTACGGCTACAACTGTGTGTGTGTGTGTGTGTAACTACCTGAAGGGTATCACAGCTACAACTGTGTGTGTGTGTGTGTGTGTGTGTGTGTGTGTGTGTATGTCTATGTGTGTGTCTACTACCAACTAACCTGATTGTTTTTCTACCTGTAACTTTTTGACTACTCTTGTGTTTATATTTTAAACTAGCTCCTCATTTCACATCTCCCATTCTTATCAGCACTGATGAATGTTTGGAAAGATTTATCTGTGCCACTTTTTTGTTGCACAAATAATAATATGAAGAAAAAGGAACTAAAACCCGGAAAGAGTATACAAATGTACAAAATGAATGACACGACACCTTTAGCGGTCATGCCTAGCTAAAGTAAATGTACATGTTCCCTTCCAAAGAAGGAACTTTCTTGTTGTTGTTTATTCCTACAGATAGACTCAAAAACACAACCTGCACCTAAAGTATCGAGACACAAAATATGAGTTACAATAGATTGTGGTTTGGATTTAAAAAATCTAACTTGAAGAACTATATTTTGTAAACATTGATACTCTAACAGAAACACTAAAAGAGCCCAACGTTTCCCTCCCTGACTGAGACCAACTGAGCCGAACCAGGCTGACCCTTTCCTAAAACAGCAGCCTGTTCTGCTCTTAGCCCAAGCCTTGAGGAGGGGGGGGGTGTGGGCTAAATCACCACAGCAGCACACTGTTCCCCCCCGCCCAAGAGTCCCAGGAACTCTCAGAGTGACCTGCCACCATCACCCTATCCCCTGAGTCAGAGTCTTGGTTTCCCCTTTTCCAGTAAAAGCCTGGTTCTTTGGCACTGGGCCCAGGAGCCTTCAGTGGTTTTGGAGAAGTTCCTTATCCTATTTTGCCCCCCCGGTGGTGGTGGTGGAGCAGGCTCCGTGAGGCGGCCGCAGTTTGAAGGCAGATAGAGTATGCACACATAAAGCTGCTCAAAGCCAGCAGGTATGTGAGGAATGCCTCTTCGTCCAAACAACAGGACTCACGACCGACACAGAGCCGTGCCACCACACAGCACTGTCAGAGTAAAGGGGTCCCGCTGGGGCCTCAGCCACTGGATGGCTCTGTACAGTAGATCTGGATTACAGCCTGTTTAAATAAAGTCACCCAGTGATCAATCACCTTGCACCAATGTCAATGGTTCAGCACTGAAGAACTCAGATAATGCATCTGCGAATAGTGTACTACATTAAACTCTTGCAAATCTAGAATGAAGGTAATGCGATTTGTGATATTTTAACCATTAGGGAAAACATCTAATTGTTCAAAAACTACACCATTTATGCCCCAACACACTAAGACGTTAAACTGGAACGTGGAAACTGCCATGTGCATTGAAACCCGTTTTAATGCATCAACAAGGGATTTTTTTTAAATGTGCATATTTAACATATTTTATGGTCTTTGCATAGTTTGTGTTCTTTGCCGGCTTGGTTAAGCTGCAAGGTTGCACAGTTGGTTTTGTACATGAGGTGATGGTGACTATACAATATCTTTTTGGACTGAAAAGAAACCATAGCCCATAGATAATTAGGTAAATGATCTTATTTCATTCTGGTAACAAACACATTTGAGGTGCCATACAAAGTGATATTAAATGAAAGTCAAAGAATAGATGTATCTGTGCATTTACCTCTTTTATGCAGCCACCCCTCCTTGACAATCACCACATTGGTCATGTTGGTGGGCAGGGTGGAGGATCCAGGTTTCCCACAGGGAGAGACACAGCTTTGTTTCCCAAGTTTTCTTCACAGGGCTCTTTGCTGGAGCCTGGAGACGAGGTCTTGGGGTTTACAGCCGCCTTCTCAATGGTGGATACCTTTTAGTAAAAAAAAGAGTAAAAATTAGCCGCATTTCAAGGTGAACGTTTTTTTTCTGTCGTCTGAATATTAACCCTCAGGTCAACATAGTACAAGAGAGGCAGAGTTTGAGAGGATCCTTGTGTTTTATGACCCAGTTAGGGAAGATATGCTAAAAGCACAGCGCAGTCCTTTTCTCACGTGGAACCTGCAACATTGCAAGGTTCAAATATCTGTGTATGGTTTTTGGCATTCACAATGAAGTCTCCCCCCTACTGGAAAATTCCATGCTGTTCTCACACAAATATTCCTTCTTTTTTTTTTAACAGTGAGTCAGAAAATAATAGCATGAAACAATTCTGAACCCAGGCTGACTGAATGAAGGGTTTTCAAACTTATTTTGAAGTTGCGTGAACAGTTGACCTTGATGGTTTAGCCCATGGTATAGCAAAATGATTGTCCAAATGATCTAAAGGCTCTCTTGTTAAACAGTTTGAGGAGTATTGTGATTTAGTTTTTGCCGAGCATACTGTAGGATGTGAATGTCTGAGGGGGATAGCAGGGATTATTATCCCACTTGCCGATTAGCATTTTGGCTAAAAAACATACAACAGTGCAATCCCTGTGCTCCGTTGCCTACCACAAAAAAGTCAGCGTGAATATGGAAGGGGTCTTATGAACATTTCTTTAATAAACACTTTCGTTCACTTTGAATAGTTATCACCGAATAAAACAGAAACAACCAGAGAAATTAAAGTAATCAACGACAGTCAATAAATATTAAAAAAAAACATCTCCCATTACTTGTTATGTACTAATTTCAATTATTTTGTAACTGAAGTAATCTAGACATAGATACTGTGAAATAAATGTTAAATCAATTATAGATTTGATGTCTTTCAGTAGAGTACTAAATCAGAAAACTGCTTAATCAGTGTGACATTATCCAACCTGATGCGTTTGTTTAAAGCCCGACAACACACTTAAGATTCAAATGTCATATCACATGCTGAAGGATGTGATGCAAAACATATATGACAGCTACTAATTCTACTTTGAAGTGAGATGGTTGTGTTTACTGTCAGATGACCTCAAACTTTTTTTTCAAGTCAACACCACTGAGATCAAAAATATTCAGTGGCTATTGAATGAAGAAAATAGCTATGTTGTGAGATAAAGGTTCAATGAATCTATGAGTGTTGTTTAGTTGTTTAGCACCTGACCTGAGGTTGAAGCCGTACAGAAATGTAAATGAGTCCAGATAGGATAAACTGCCAGGTTTACAACGCGGGGCAACTATTCACACAGAAATCTGACATGAGTACAACAATGCAGACACTTTTACAGTTAAATGTGTGAATAGGGTCTCGGAAAGATGTACGAGAAAAGTGAATGTAGCTAAAAGATCAAGCCGCAACAATAATCTTACCATGTATAATAAGACGACACTGACGGATAAGCCAAATACAGCTGAACTCCATCACGGCCTTATCGGTTATTCATAATCAGCACATACTGAAAAAACCTGGAGGCTATCACAACCAAAACACTTGACCTTTTGATTCATTCAGTGCTTTTTATTATTATATAAAGATAGCTTTGCACGCGGGGAAGAAGCCAAAGAATGATCAATTGCCATGCTTGTTCACATAAATGTCACATACTGCACCAGGCAATCTCTCACCATCAACTGAAATCAATTTGCTGCTGCCGCTCCGTCGGTAAGGCCATCAAAAGAGAGCTCTGTTTGAGTGGCCTCATCCAGCTCACTAGTGGGGACATCAACAGGAAGTGGATGTGACTATTGACAGACTACGAGTCATATCAGTAGAGCCCCAGGCTCAAACACATCTGTCAGTGAATGTGCGATCAACACGCCTTTTACTGCCATTCTGCCCGCTTCCATCAATGAGCAGAAGTGAGTTTGTGGAAGCACAGTTTATTTCTGCTCAGTGTTTCTGTTTATTGCACTTGGGGTTTCGGTGCTTGTGTCACACAGTGGATGCTGGGAGGATCTTGGAGAGGACTTTGAAAAAGCACAGTGAGTGCTATTCAAACGAGGGATCACACAAACCGTTGGATCTCTCCGGCATCTTAGTGTGTACTCTGTGACACAGGCACGCACACATTATATACACACTGGGATACATCACACAAACAAACTTGAACGCACACACCGCAGCCAAAAAAGCAACACATGCACAAGACCGGCTCTGGAGCCACAACAGAGCGCTGCTGTTTTAATGGGAGCGGACCTGTTGCTACTGCGGCCTATGTGGAAAAGCTGGGCTGCTGCCAGCGCTGCAGCCACTGAATGAACCCAGTACCCTGACAGCGGGTCACATGGTCCTCAGGCCTCTGGGCCACAGCGTGCCTGCCTACGCTGCTGTCAGGGCAGCTTTCAATCATTCATCTTTCTGGCTCTGGCACCAGGGGCCATCCCATTCAATGCAAATCAGTCTCCTGCTGCAGAGATGCCACACACTGAGCCCGTCACTGAGCCACAGAGGACAGTCCCATGTGTTTATGGCAGGAAGCAGAAAATCAGGCCGACATCACCACACTACTTCCTTCATCACAGATCGATAGATACAAGTCTGTTTTTACTCCTTTTTCTACCGCCGCTTGGGTTTACAAGAGTCTGATTTACAAAGATAAAATATTGAAACAACAAAATGAGAATATGCTCACCTGCTGCTGGAAAACAGTCCCCGAAGCTACACTTCGTTTGTGTTCAAATGTCACAATAGGACCGGTACTACTGTGCACAGTTCCTCTATCAAGTTCCCTTAAAACATATCACTAGTGATAAGAATATTGTGGGTAGGTATAGCCGACTACAAAACCACAGCTACTGTAATCATGAAAGCTGAATAGACCCACTGTTTTAATCCTGTGATGACGTGAGAAGGAACCCCCTTACAGTACGAATCATGTTCTTTGTGCTGTTCAGACAAGCTTTGAAATGAATCAATGATAGATCACAAAGCTAGATTTATTCAAATATATACCAAGCGTAACATAACACTCAGGATAAGTCCAGGTGTTTTTAAATGTGAGTAACTATTATTAACAAGATGAATAAAGCTAAAAGTATGTTAGGCTGCAGTGTTCTGACAGAGTACCGTCATGTGATGCTGATGGTGGGCTACCATCATTAGAAGCATATCCTTCTCAGTGACATTACATTTAGACTCCTGTGGTGAAGGCAGGGGGACGGGCACAATATGTTTGCCTGTGTACAGGGGGAACATTGCAAACAACATTCCTCAGATTCTGCATGCAACTGGTGGCACATTTGCATCAAAAGGGCTGTCAGGGGATTGGGTGGGAGGTGACTGGTATTTTCTAAATAGAACAGGGAGAGCCAAGGAGTCACTGGATGCATCATTACGCCAGCTTGTTGCGTCTTCACCGGTCACATGCCAAGTCCCCCTGCGTACTCACACTGGACAGACTTGGTCTCATGACTAGTACAAACATTTTGACACTTAAAGGCATTTCGGGTACAACATGCCCGGGGACAATGTTCTGTTTCCAGACTGTACATGTATGAGTATCCTCTAGGAGCCAAACAGACAGTAACATCAGTGAAGGAAGTTCAAGGGTTCAAGTTGGACATTAAAGTTGTACAGGTTGCATGTCACTTACTTCTGAGGCTTCACATACATTTGAGAAAAAAAGAATATTGAAGAATGATCCTGTATTTAAAATATGGTTTAGTAAAGAAAGGCATTACTCTCATCAATGTAGGTGGGATGATAACAGTATAACCTATCACCAAAACAGCTACCCACATGCAGTTAGCAATTGTACTGATTACAAGGGAGGGAAGTAGAAATATACCCTATTATACCTTTACTTTATGACTTCCCTGCTGTAAAAACTGTGGAACTAAAAAGGTCCTTGGGCTCCATTTTGAGAACCACTAAAAGGTGGCATCTAGTCACAACAAAGATGTACCACTTTGTATCACTGAACGTGAATGCAACAATGTTACAACAGAAACAGCAACAAGCTAGCCAAGCTAACGACTCACTGGAATTACTGCCTGGCCATAAATTCCCCACTCAAACACGTAAACAAACGCGGTGGTAGTTCATAACAATGAATGAGCAGCTCTCTTGTTGAGCTCATTTGTTTTCATTTGCCTCCTGGGCCATAAAGTACAAGCGAAAACAACTTTCTAGCAGAGGTGAAGCGTTTAAAGTAACATAACAGTAGATATTTTTGGCCTGAGGGCTGTGTCTCAAAAGTGGTCATTGTCAAAAAAATAATGGTTAACTGCACATAGACTCGCGGTTGTTTGTTGAAAAATAACAACGCATTATTTACAACAGGACGTGTATAAGACCTTGACTTTACAGCTACATAACTTGTACGGCGAAGTCAGGAAAGTACCTAATTTCAGGTTTGAATTTAGCGATAGAAAGGATATGGGGCCTAGCAGGGCAGCTTGGGTGAGAATAACCGCATCCCATGTAAGTACAATGGGGACCTACCCTGTCTAGCTGTCGACCTCTTGTAGTTAACCATGCGAAGGAAACGCGGACATTTACCTGGACAGGAATTCAACAATGTGTCCGTCTCATTATAGTGAGCTGTTTCGGCGGTGTATTAAGTTGATAAGTCCTTCAACAATCTGGACAAAGTGGTCTCATTTACTCCGTTTCTTTGCCTTTCTTCCACTACACCTCCCAAACGCGCTGTCTGCAATGCCTCTGTGGCAGCCCGTCTCCCGGGTCCTAGAGCCTGCCCTTTATGGGTCCCACTCTATGGTCCCACTCACAGGAAGGGTGGTGGGCTGTCAGCCGTCCCATTGAAAAACCCTGCAGTGTTTCTGTAGGGGGCTTATTAGGGGCTGCATGGCCCTGCTGAACTCTCCGTTGTTTTATCTGGGCCAGTGGTTTCCAAAATAGGGTCCGGGGATCTACAGAAGCCCCTGGCCATGTTTCCAGAGGATCCTCAGTACAATGAGGGATTACTTCCTGAAACAATCCATGAGGTGATGATGGATTATTTTTGTTAGTAGATTTTTTACAGAAAGATAAAAGATTGTTTAAATTCATTTCAAATCTGCGATCTGATTACTTCCTTAAATTAATATGTAACATTCCAATATATTGGTAATTGAAAAAATCATCAATTTCCCAAGGCCCAAGATGGCAAAGTCTTTTTATAATATTCATTATTATAAAACCCAAAAATATAGACTTTACAAACATAAAAAAGGAGCTTTCTAGGAACTTATTTTGGCTTCAAGATGAAGGCTATATTGTTCAAAACCCCTTAATGTTATATTTAATTTGTTTGGTGTTGTCTAACTTATTTAATCATGTAAAATGTAATTCAATCATGTATTGCAATGTAAAACATGCAGTGATTAAATAAATTACTCTTCATTCAAAAACAAATTCAAACAGTATGGGGAATTGCAAAAAGATAAATAAATATATATCAGCAAATGAAAATTGTGCGCTAAGAAACCAAGGATTAGATTCAGTGCTCTTCAACTAGCAAAAAACAAGGGAAGAGTAGCGCTCCCCTGCTTGAAGGACTATATATCATATTAAGAAGCTTGTTCTGCTGGTGCAAGCCAGACTACAGAGCTAGATGGAAAGAAATTGAGAATAATGTATCAGGAGGAGTACCAATCGAGGCAAGGTTAGGGGATAAAAGACAAAAACGTACTGGAAAAATATAACCGCTGGATAAACCTCTCCTTAAAATGATGGTTAAGGATCCTTACCAGGAGTGACTTGCTGGAGGAAATGAAGATATTAAGATGATGCTCACATGATCTTGATTTCACCCCGAGCAAGCTAGATACAACATTTAAAGGTTGGGCCAAACATGGCCTTACTTCATATTGCACATTTTTCAGCAAAGGAACCATGTTTGATTTTCAAACACTAAAACAACTATATGGATTGAATAACGGCGATTTTTTCAATTTCTACAGGTACGCCATTACTTAAATAGTTCCATGTCAGACAGCCAGAAGGCCCTTGAAAACCCTTTATTAATAGTTTTCACCAGTGCATACACATCAGACACAGGGATGAAAGTAATCTCAAAACTTTACCAAGCTCTTCAAGATATTAAAAAGGAAAATACTTTCTATATAAAACACAAATGGGAAAACGAAACAAAAAAAACCATGCCTGACGAAGTCTGGACAAATTACTGTACTTTTCAATGGAAGATCTCTAGCTCAGGCACCGACAGAATGTTTAGTTGGAAGATGCTGAGCAGGTACTTTTTCAGCCCTGCTCAGTCATCACATCATCTCGGGCCCCCCAGCTGCCGGAGGAAATGTGGTTCTCAGTTAGCACATCACTACCATTTGTTTTGGGCTTGCCCTTTAATAGTAACTTTTTGACAAAAGATCCATATCGAAATTGAAATAGTACTACAGGAAAAAATCCCTTTAAACTGGGACGAATTTCTATTTGGGCTCGTACATTCAATCCACACAAACTCCAAAACAAAACAATTATTTGGAATTGTTACTGTTGCAGCAAAAAAAGCAATAACTAGAAAATGGCTTAAAGCGGATATCCCTTCTCTTGACAACTGGTACGACAAAATCCATGAAATCTATGTTATGGAAAGAATCACCTTCTCAATGAGGCTTCAGGAAAACACATTTGAAGAAACATGGAAAAAGTGGAGAATTTACATATCCCAAAGACGACCATCCCTTGTTTGACTGTGTTTCTATACACCGATTGAATGTATATGTATAGATGTGTATGTATGGTCACATGTATGTGTGTATGTGTATTGAATATATTTTAGTCAAAATAAAATAAAAACGAAAAAGTACACAGGGGTTGTTTAAAATAGCAAATGTCTACACATGTACATATGCATATGGATGCATATGTACATGTGTAGACATTTGCTATTTTAAACAACCCCTGTGTACTTTTTCGTTTTTATTTTATTTTGACTAATTTTGTTTGCTATTTCATTTGTCACTTTCGGGTCTCTACAAATATATGATTTGAAAAACTGTACTTGTATTATAATGTGACCCCAAATAAATACAGAGTACAAAAAAATAAAAAATTGTGCGCTAGGCTAAAATAGGTTACTTCTTTACTCGGTAATGGCCAGGAGCAAAAGGTTTTTGTCCAGCAGTTCGGAAGCACTCACGATGCTGTTCCCCGAGGATCTGACTTGGGTGCTTAAAAGCATTTCAGACATTGTAGCCCTGAATACTTTGAGAACAGGTACCCATTGTGAGCGGCGTAGTCATGGCTGTGATGCTTCTGTCCTCCTGTTACTTGTTGCACTCAAGCAGCAGGCAACTGGTTGTTGATTTATGGATTATTTTTGGAGACACCTGATTGGACAAAGTACAGCAGTCCTGCTAAAAAATACATTCTTTAACTGTGAGTTGCTGTGAGGAGGAAAGTGCCATTGACATTTCACATAAAAGGCACATAAGCCATGAAGTAAAGTTCAGATCAAACATAACCTTTAGTTTTCTTACTCTGTGACGAGGGCAAATCCTACTGAATGCACTTTTACAACCATTATTTCTTATTTGGCGCCTCAGCACATCACTTATTTCCTGATTGAGATGTGAACACGTTTTTTATGGAGCTTTCACACAGACTCCAGGGGTGGATGGAGTACAATTATGACACTACGGTGAGCTTGCTAGTAAGTGGACAATAAATTACCTACTCGCTAGGTTAATATATAAAAAAGGAATCAGTTGTGTCAACAGGAAATGCAGCAACATAAAGTTACACAAAGTCAGGAAAGAAAAGAAAGAATGATGAAACTGCAGAAGGAAAAAACTAAAGCATAAAGATAAAATTGGGAGTTTATATCAGAATATAATTCTTATTATACCACATTGTTATTGTATAAACACTCATGTCCATACACAAAAAAACTGCCTGTCGGAGAGGCAGGAGTTAAACCAGTTTGCAACAGGTACAGACATGTTAAGTCAGCCAGAGTCAAGAGAAGTCAGGGATCCTCTGTAACAAATGAAGAACCCATATGACTTCATTAATTTTTGTTTCACATTACATTTTTAGAAAACCTCTCTCCATATCATTCCAATAATATTCCTATAACCTTGCTGTATAAGCAGGTACATTTGTGATCTTTCGACGCTTCATTTTCTTTGAAGCCGACCACAATATCTTCTTTATCAACTCCTTTTATCTGTGTATGATATAAAAATGCAAGACAATGCTTTTGAAAGGTTGTGCAATAACTAATGAATATATACTGTCACAAGAACAGGAAAGCTGCCCTGCTACCATGTGTCAGCCTCGCCAAGCTGTTCCTGTCATAAGAACTGAGCTGAGTGAGGGTATCCCATATTTCAGCAGTGACTCCTCTCCTCCTCATCCTCCTCTGGTCCGGTGATGGGGAAGTCAACTCTGTTGTTTTTCAGGTTCAAAGCTAAAGACGCAGGATCATAGAGTCAAAATGAGTTAATAATTTCATTATTACTTTCATTACATTACATTGCATTTAGCTGACGCTTTTATCCAAAGCGACTTACAATAAGTTATTTCCTGCAAAGACTCATCTGATCTCTTCTCTTGTCTGCCTGCAGTATCTGTTCAGAGAATAACAAACAGGACAGAACAGAACTTAATGGGCTGTTGAAGGAGAATAGATAACATACAGCAGCAACAATTACACACTGAAGGGCAGAAGGGCCATAATAGGGAGGAAGTGGTGGGGGGTCCGAGCAATACGGCATCTCCCGGCAACTGCAGTGCAATGTTGCTTCAACTGTCACATTATTTTCCAGGATGTATTATCCACCTGTTGTGCAGCTTCGCCTACAGTCACTACAGGATTCAACGCTTTAAAGGGTAGGCAGTTTGTTGCATTGTATAAGAAATCACACAGCTGGCTGTTCTTTATGTTTTCCAAACAAGACCACAACCTCATCTCGATATAAGCTGGTTTTATTTGGTCACCTAAAATGTATAACAAACTGAACATCATATGCCATCTTGTAGCCTTTTAAATCCTAAATGAAGATCAGTATATATTTTTAAATACTAAAAGAAAAATGTACTCTTTTTTTTTTTTAAATGTGTAGTTTTATTTTAACTGCAAACTAGTCTAAAGGATGAATGGAGTGATCAATAGTAGTTCATAAAAGTACAAGTATATCTGTAAAAAGAATACTTTCAAATACAAAACCAACAAATATAATTGAATGTGTCACTCATTTTACTTGGTCCCTCCTTACAACCAGATGCAGCCACATTGTTCCAAACTCACAACATTTTATTCAAAATTATTGTAAAGGTTGCTAATTTATACCCCTGTAATTATGTTGTATGATGTCCTTTTTGTTTTCTGTTGTTTTTATGTGTAACCAATGTGCTGCAGGTCTCCCTTGAAAAAGAGATTGTTGATCTCAATGGGATTTTCACCTGGTTAAATAAAGGCTACAAACAAAGACCCTGAGCTATGTACAGATACCATATTGTTAGGCTTAACTTTGTGTAAATGTGTACAAAATATATTGTTTTTTTTAAAGATGGAGCAGGCCAGACAGTGTGTAATGTTTGGTTTAATCCTGATTGCAATGGGAGAGCTTAATGTTTAGGGGTTTAAAAGTGATTTTCAATGCATAACGAGGCCTTATAAGCATCCTCCACTCATGCACCCCTATGGTGAGACTTTGGTCCAGCGGGGAGAGGGATGTGGTGCGACTGTGGCTGGATGGCTGGCTGGTCAGGCTACACTGGAATGCAGGGTCTTTTGTTTGCCAGAGAGAGGAGTGGGTCAGGGGGAGAATGCCATTGATGATTGGAGAGAGGAAGAATGAACCTCCAGGAAGTGTTCTCTCTCTCTCCCCGCTCCCCCACTCTCCCACTCTCATTCTCTCTCCCTCTCTGCCTCTCTTTCTCTATCGTTTTTTTTTTCTGTGTGTGAGAACCTTCACCGTGCCGAGCCTCTCTCTCTGAGGCCACGGTCCCCAGGCACAACCACTGCTTTGTCTTGCCTTGTGAACACACACCCCTCCTCTACTGGGCGCCTAGGTTTGCCAGGGAAACACAGGGCCACTGCTCCTATTCTTATCCACATTGCTGCTCTTGCATTGATGGTGTGTGTGTGTGTGTGTGTGTGTGTGTGTGTGTGTGTGTGTGTGTGTGTGTGTGTGTGTGTGTGTGTGTGTGTGTGTGTGTGTGTGTGTGTGTGTGTGTGTGTGTGTGTGTGTGTTTGTGTGTGAGTGCTCAATGGTAAATTGTATTTCCTATGGCATCTGATGCTTCAGTATAACCATTTCTTTTGCTGGTGTTTTGACAAAAATGTGAAGTTATTCATCATCGTTGTTTCCTTTGCTACACTAATTAAGCTTTCAGACTAAAATAAAGAGAGTTTTTATTTAGAGACATGACCAGAGTGCAATATATCCACCCTCTGTAACAGCCAGACTAAAAATGGAATAAAGCAGTAAGTGGATAAGAATCTAGCCGGTGGCCCCTTCCGACCAGTGGCTGCCGCCTCCCGTCACATTGCTCATTCCCCTCTGTGTCAGAAGGCTGAGAGGAGCTGCAAATGGCCCTTTCAAAACACACGGCAGCTGGAACACAGGGCAAAGGTGACTGAAGCAGTTGGGGGAGCACAGGGAGGGACAGGAGGGTGGGGGGGGGGGCACGAGATGAGCAGCTGCAACCTCGAGCCCCTGTTTCTGCACTGTGCCACCATCTATAGCTTTAACAATTAAAGACCAGAGACTGATGTTTTTTTCTGGTAGTGCCTGATAGTCCACAACAACTTTTTTCTAATGTAGTCCACATAAATCAGCATCATTCCTGTCTTCAGACAATTTAGGCTAAACAAGTCACAGCCAGGGACGTGGTGTGGTCTAAAGAAACAAAGGCGCTGGGTGGTGCGGTGCCAGGGAATTCCACATCCCAAAGCAGGATTAGAGAGAACAGCCCTTAAAAAGTTCCCTATAGTCCACTGACCCTCCAAATTAACAAAGCATGATTTTATAATTCTCTGTATCAGTTTGGATACTTTCAAAGATACAAATTATTTGTGACAGAAAGTGTTTCTTTCATCAAATGCAGACTCAAAACCACATCCAACGTTTCTGGGAAGCTTGCAAATTCAATTTGCCTTCTGGATTTGAACTATTGGAATCCTATTATCTTCAAACAGATCTGGGTAGAACAGGAAACATGATACTTTGCAACATATAATACATTTCAACATCCAGATGTATAGTGACAAGTCTGTCTAGTCAAAAACAAGTTTTTTGTTCAATGTCTAGACTCTTTGTATTGTCATCAATTGCTCTATTTGTCCTTTCCTCAACTTTGCCATACTTCCGGATTTGTCCCACTGAAAGCCCCCCTCCCCCGTCCGTGGGGCAGGTGTTTTAATAAGGCAGCCAATTGATGTTCCCAGTGTACTCTGCTACTTGCTGCCGCTGTGTGAATTCTCGGAGTAGTACAGAACTTATTGTGGACGCGCGATATCGCGAGACTTGTGCCATTATCAACCTGCTTGACACACAGCAGCGCTGAGTGCAGCCTGCCTTGCCAGGGTCGGACTGAAGCTCAAGAAACGACAAGGAGAAGCGAACATCTGGCCGCACATCATGAAAGGACGTCCGGGCTTCTAGGAAAGAACACGACGAACCCGGCGGAAATAAATGTAAGTGCAGTGTTTTTGTGCTTTGAAACGGAGGAAGCGAAAGTTAAAAGAGTGTCCCCTCGCCGCTTCGTTCAGAGCAGTTACTGCGAGTTCCTGTGCTGTTTAAAAGGCTCCTAGCAATGCGTTTCCCAACACGGACATAGAGCTCGGTTTACTGCGCCCTTGGCTCTGCTGTGTCTTACACTTTTATCTCTCATTAACATGTTAATACCGGGCGCAAAATTACACTTATGCATTTTCCTTTACGGTGAATGAAACTTTAATATCCAATTCACCGAAGTTTTTTTTTTAATCTGCCTGTTTAGAGTTTTGAGTTGACCCTTTTAAACAAATATTTCACAGTTGTGCGCGTGTGTCTGATAAGTGCCCCGAAGCGTTTTTATTCCCCTCCGCGGTTATCGGCTGCAGTTTTCATTGGTGATAAATTACACGATTAAAAAAAAGTTAGAAATTCCGTGCAATCTTGTGATACTTATGAATCCACTATTTTTCGTTTGAAACAAGTTGAGTGCGTGTAGTTTGGACTGCGTATAGCCCAGAGTTAACATATGGCATAAAGGGGAGCACAGCTGGAGGTAGCATTTCCATTGCGGTGATGTCAGAGCAGCTGACTCCACAGCTTGTAGTGTAATTAGCAAACAGAGCACCAGTTTACTCACTCTGCACTGCTCTTATTTTTCACGTTTGCCTCCTCCCACCCCCCTGATGGACTGCTATAATTCCCACTCTCGGGAGTTTATTCCGTAAACCTCCGCTATTTCTTGTGCGATCACCGGTGCGCCACTTTTTGCCAATTTTGGAAGCTCAAGAAGTAGGCTGACTACCAGAAACCGGAATACTTGTGATAATTTGGAGAGTGGATCCCTTTACACCGTGATACATGGGTGGGTGAGCGCAGCGTAGCGTGTCCTGCACCACTGGAAATAATGAAGGATTTATGGTCTCAAGTTGGATAAAGTTATTGCTGATGAATTTAATGTATCTGAATAAAGTTGTGTAACTGGGAAGGATTTTATGGACTTGTGTGATTAAAACACGGGCATGCTTGTGCATTGTTTGTTTGCTCAGACTTTTAAATTATTTGCGTTAAGTTATCCTAACATTTCCTCTGGTTTAGCCGCGGTGTCTGCCTCTGCCGGCTGCACCGCTCTGCCCTCTAAATGGCTTCAATTCGTTTATCCAGTATCCTGTTTTTCCTGTTTTTCTCAGGTTATGAAGGAAGAATGGAGTTCCCAGACCATAGCCGCCAGTTGCTGCAGTGTCTGAGTCAGCAGCGTCACCAAGGTTTCCTCTGTGACTGCACTGTTCTTGTCGGGGAGGCTCGATTCAAAGCACACAGAGCCGTGCTGGCCTCCTGCAGCATGTACTTCCATCTCTTCTACAGGGACCAGCTGGACAAAAGGGACGTTGTGCATCTCAACAGTGACATTGTGACAGCCCCGGCTTTCAGTCTGCTCCTTGAATTTATGTATGAGGGGAAGTTGGATTTCAGCTCTCTCCCGGTGGAGGATGTCCTGGCAGCAGCCAGTTACCTCCACATGTATGATATAGTGAAAGTGTGTAAAAGCAAGCTTAAAGATAAAGAACTCTCCTCTCTGGATGAAAAGATGACTGAGGGCTTGGGGCTCGGCTGTGTGGACAGAGCAAAATATTTGGAAAGCCAGCTGCACAGTAAGCAGCTCATCCGGCGACAGCCCCAGACACAGTCTCAGGGGCTCCTCAGGGCCCCCCTGAAACAAGAGTTTGACATGGACAACAGCGAAGTCAGGCTGGCTGTCACAGATTGTGATAGGTCTTTGCGGAGCAGGCAGAAGGCGAACGGTCACTCTGGCAGGTCCCCGGACCTTGTAGGTGTCAATTATTTGTCAGCAGAGGCCGAGCCCTGTGTCCAAACAGCTGGAAAAACAAAAGCTGATGTCAGTAGTT